TGGAAGATAGTAGGTAGCGGAATTGCTCGCGGAAGAGACCTCGGTTATGTGTCCTAAATCGATGTATTCCTAGATTAACGTGTCATAGCGGGCCTTAAGGGGCGGATCCCTCTTCAGGCGCTGCTCATTACGAGGTAACTGAGCAAGAGCAAAGAACCGTGAAGCCGCTAGCTCGGAACCCTTCTGCTCGGGGTCGCGTAAGAAAACTGTCACTACGTACCTGCCACACTCGTCTCTTCGTCGTCTGGACAAAATTGTGCTCGCAAACTGAATCCGATTCCAAACTGATATGTGTGGGCACATCTTCCACCCCCCAGAATTTGGTGGGGAGCTGAAGATAATGGGCCTGTCAGCACCCATCCAAAAATGGTCCCCTGACCGAGAAGCGACCCGCAGATGTTAGTCTTGGAATTACCGAGGGAAATGGACGGAAGAATGTCAGCTCCTATTAACACGTCGATTTGGGAGCTCTCAAAGAATTATGGTCCTCCAGGGAAATGTCGGGCAGCCCCTTGAAGATCTCGCGAAATCGGATATGATGGCAGATTTCCTGCGGGTCTAGACGGCGATCGAATGGAGAAATGGCACAATTTAGCCAATTTAGTAGACTGCGCGGAAATGGTCTGATTAAGGCCGGAAACTTGTGCGTGAATCGTCTTGAAGGGAAACTTGACAAGGTTGAACAGTCGTTCCGTTATGAAAGTCGCTTCGGACCCTGAGTCTATTAGTGCTCGTGCCTGGACGGTGCACCCCAAATGGCACACGTTAATAAGGGCCGTGCCCAGTAGGACTGCTCCTGACCCGGAAGCGAAACACACCTGCACATTCGACTGATCCTCTGAGCCGTTTGCTGGCGTAGGCGGACTTGGAGCGGTAGGCGGCGTAGGCGGATTTGGAGCGGTGGCGAACGGATTGCCGCGGTGCAGGAGGGTGTGGTGTCGGCCGTGGCATGTGAAGCAGGTATGGGCGCTCGTGCAGTCTCGCTGCTGGTGTCCTCGGGCAAAACAGTTCAAACATAACTGCTTCCTTTCAATGTAGTCCGAGCGCCCATTTACGTCCATTTCCAGGAACCGCGGACATAAGCGAATGGGGTGGTTCTCCCTCGAACAGAGATCGCAACCCTTGGGGCCCGGAACCACTCGGCCCGGAGTCTCGTATGAATTGAGCCTCCGAGCAGGGGCAGTAGGAATTCCCGACCTTGGCGGAAGTTGCCCGGAGCCACTAGGCCTGACGTCGTCGATGGCCTCCAGAGTGCGATGGCGCTCTGTCAGGAAGTTATCTAATTCCTTCCATGTTGGAAACTCGGCCTTATTATGTTCGGATTGCTCCCACATAGAAAGTGTGACTTTGGGGAGCTTTGACGAAATCATAAATACCAGGAGACAGGCCCAAGCCTCAACATTGATGGAGGACATTTCTAAGGCTGTCAGACAACTCTGAATGGTGGCTTGCAGCTCCTTCAGCGCGACCCCGGACTAATGAGAAATAGCCTGGAGGTTGAAAAGGATTTTTAACTGGCTGTTGACCAATAGCCGCCGGTTCTCAAAGAGGTCTGTGAGGCTTTGCCACGCGTCGACAAACCCCTCATGGGTAAGCGGAGCCTTAGAAACAATGGCGTGGGCGTCACCACTTGTTTTGGACAATAAGTGGAACAACTTCTCTACCAGGGTTAGCCGCGAGTTTTGGATGTAAATGGCCGTAAACAAGTCTCTGAAGGTGGGCCACCGAAGATAATCACCCGCGAAGACCTCGGTATCCACTGGAGGTAACCGGCAGCCTGTAGACGCGGGCGTGTGGACATTGACGGACGCCTGAGTGGATTGGGAAGCAATTTTCTCCCGAAGTTGCCTAGCTTCATCTCGAATAGACGGAGTAACAGTAGTTGAACTTCGATATCAGCACTGTCGAAGTGGCCACATTGTCGTCTGACACGGCTAGTAAATCGGAGCAGCTCTCATAGCTTTTTCCACCTTCTCCCACAGTGCCCGAATTTGGTCCCGATGGACCTCGCAAATGTATTGGGAGCCTACTTCCGTTTCTCTGGCGCCCGGAGTATTTATGTTAGCCTCAAATTGGTTAATTCGATCTGTTGTGGCGATGAACTTTTTCAGCGCCACGTCGACCGCACTTTGAGCCATTTTTGCAACGGAACGAGTCTGCCTTTGTGAAGGACCGGGTATTGTATTGACGGATTCGTCACTGTTTGCCCTTGGAATGGCACTGTACGCCTTAGGCTTTAAAAGAGGCGTCCGCGGAGAAGCGGATTGAGATCTGTCCAAACGGATGGTTGGGATCGGACGAGGCTTTTGGTCGTCTCCCGTGGGCATTCTCAGACATCAATTCGGTGGTCAGCGCTTGTCGACTGACTCGCGCAACAGGTGCCTCGAACGAAGTGTTGGCCGGTCGCACTAATGTGATGAGAACGGTGAGATCGCGGATGAAAGGCAATTACAAGGAGCAAGTGCGAACTAGTGGCGCTGATGTGGAAAGGAAAGTCGTGTGCGGCACAATTCGAATGTGGAAAGAAAAACTTCAGGCACCAGAAATACCCAAAAGGAGACGAGGTTTGCTCGGATTGTAGGCGGATGTTGCCAGATGCGGAGTAGAAGCAGCGTTAGGAAAATGACGGAACGGAAAATGGACAAGGACCGGAAAATTCGTGATCTTTCGGAAAAATAATTGATGACTGTCTATATATGTATGTATATTTCGACCAGTATGGCTCGTACGTAAATATTTAATTCCTAACTATGTTCGAATTTTCGGAGCCGGAAAGGTGGACTTGAGCTTGGCTTGGATTGAACACAGAGAAAAAAATAAATAATTAATTTTTGCCTAATTGTCGGATTTAATTATTATGGAAACAGACGGGTGGAGTTGAAAATTTCAATTTTTAATTAATGGAGGTTAAGTAACCCGAAGCTGGACCGGTGGAATTGAAACCGCGGCTAGTTTCAGAAAGAAGATCGACAATTAAATTATTTAATTATAATTTTTTTCGATAATTAAATTTTTCACTTTAATTATTGAGTGGCCGGAAAGGTGAATTAAAAAACCTGGCCCTTTGCTCGGACGGAAAATAAGAATTAAATAAATTTTAGTAGTTATAATTATAAATAAATAAATTTATAATTCATTGATTTTTTTTTTTAATTTGTTTGGTTATCTATTTCCTGAAATTGGAGGCAGAAAATATTTGGAAATATATGGGCATGCAGGTACGGATATATGTAAGGGGATGTGGGCATATGTTGGCACAGTAGAGCGTCGATAATATGTAACTGAGGGAACGGAAAAGTTATGTGGTGTAAAAAATTGGGGAAGAAAAACCAATATTACGACAGCGGCGGACTGTTCGGTGCACTTGGAAATTACCGGAACCACTTCACACCGGCTGGCAAATATTAATTATGCCCTTTTTTTTTTTTTTTGTCACCACACCGTTTTACTGTTCACTTGCGGATTTTTTTTTTTGAGGATTAATTGCACCAAAAACTATGTAAGTGTGTATGCATGCACATATGCCTCGACCGTTGGCGAGCGAATGGATAACGGAAAGGCCAAAAACGGCGAGGAATATGGCGAGGCACACAAAACGGAGATGGATGGACAATTTTGTAGGGTTTTTTTTTGTGTTAGAAAAATCTTAAGCTGCCGTGGTGTCGGAAAACTCGGACTTGGAGTTGACACGTTAGAGAAAAAAGACAAATCTTGCAGCAGTGTGAACGAAATTTGTTGTTCGGACCACTGCTGAAGACCGGTAGAGAGACGGAGACGGAAAAAATTTCGTACTTACATATCTTTTGGCGGAACAATGCCTGGACTGCTGGTAGAATATATCCAAAATATCCGGCTCAAAGGACCAAAATGTGTAGGGGAGCGTTGCTACCGCAAAGGATTCCAGAAATGTTGAATTAAAAAATCGGGGCGTCTTTCAGGGAATATAACGCGGTCAGCTTTATTGGGCTGCTTACAAGAGATAGATAACTTAAACTAGTACAAAAAAGAGACGATCGACGACAACCAACGAGCTTGAGAGAGTGCACAGAGGGGCGATTGCGGATGCGCTCTTTAGCGCGGGTGCGGTCTTCAGCTGAGCGGCAGCACAGCCCCTCACCTAAACAATCGGAAAGGGTGTAACTTTGGTGTTTTTAGAGTTAGAGAGTTCAAATTTAGCAGGAGAGCTATTTTTGGCAAAATTATACGACATGCCAAATTTCATAACGATCGACCGACTATATCCTATAGCTGCCAAAAATTTTTGGCACAAATGAATTTATTTTTTTGCGAAATAATTTATGTTTGCTTATTTTTTCGGTACCTTTAATACTCAAGTTATATAAAAAAAATTTCTATTAAGGTTTTCTTTTAAGTGCCTCCAAGTGCCTTAAAGTTAAAAATGTATGTTTTTTAACAAATAACAATTAAATCAATTTTAAGTAATGGTTTTTGCGCCTTTTCGAAAAAACAATACCTGTTGCAGGTGTTTATGAGTTCTCTTATGCAGCGCTCTTCGAAGTTTGGGAGGAGAGCAACCGGAAAGACGACGCTGTTAAAGGCTTAAATTAAATTTTATAACTAATGAAACCATATTTACTCGTTTTTGGTTTTTTTATGAAAATTTTAAATTTTAATAAAAATTAAATAAAATGGATATATGGAAGTGTTAAGTGAATATGGCCCACTCTTGATATAGGCGGCGGGCATAGACGTGGTCAAATTTTAAAAATAACAAAATTCGAAATTCCCAAAAAATAGTTAAAGCGCTAAATTTGAGCCCAGTATATCTAAAATTGGAGTTTATGCCAAAAAAAGGCGTGTCCGTCCGAAGTGGGCGTGGTATAATTTAAAAAAAAAAACAAAATTTGAAATTCGAAAAAAATATATGCAAAATTTGAGTGCAGTATTTCTAAAATTGGAGTTTATGCCAAAAAAAACGGCGTTTCGGCCTAAAGTGCATTGTGCCTAAGACGTAATTGTGTGCGGAAAATAAAAAAAAATTAAATTTCTCGGTCAAATATTTGTAGTGCAATATAAACAGTTAAATAACATTGAAGCATCAATATCTAAGCTGTGGTTAGTGTTGTTTTTTTTGTCAAAAAAATGTCGTCATTCATGAGGATTTGCAGGAAATGCGCCACAATTTTAAAATAGTGAAGGCCCCTCGAAGTCAAAGCAAAGCGTTCGGCTGCAAGAATTGGAGAGGCTTGTTTCGAAGTTAAAGGACACTCATGGGAAGCTTACCGAAATACATTTTGGAGAGCTGAGGACCCAGTTGCGCATCAAAGAGGGAGTAATCCTGCTCTCCACTTTTCTGTCCGACTCGACGGTAGTTAACGGTAGCCCCGCGTCAAATTCCAGAAGTTATCGCTTCCTAAATTCTGCGTCGGCTATTCCGAATGGATTGTGTTTTGGTCCATGTACTCAGCTATTGTAGATGGCAATCCGTTTATCAGTCGGGTTGAGAAACTCCAGCGAATACGAGAGTTTGCCAGGCCTTGTCTCGACCGGGCGTACTTCTCATATGCGTGCAGAGGCTTCCTGTCCCTATTTCTCTTTCTCCCATAATGTGCGACCTCTTTATACAAATGCATTAGCTGCTAAGCACCGGGAGTCAGCACTTGTTATAAGCTCCTCGCTCCGTTCTGACCACCGCCGTCGAGCCAACTTTTTCCAACCCAATTTCTTAGAAAATTTTTCTTAGTGGAAACATTTTCGATTTTTAAGTTTGGGCTGTCAAATGGGTCAAAAGGAGAGGAAATGAGAGAGCTTCTAAAAAAAATTTAAAAGCTCTCACACTGTCAGTGTGCCGGCAGCGCTGCGGAAGAATTTCCTACCCTATGCACGCGTGCTTTGGAAAATGAGAGTTCGCCCCCCACTGATGTATACTAAGGCCTCTAAGAATCGGTTGATTTGAATGAAATTTATTTTTCAGATATATGTATATTACCTATAGAAAAAGTTTGGCAGCAACATGAAGAGGAACGAAGAGGCGTGCAAAAAATTTGAAACAAACTTGAACGCGTGGGCAATATAGAAGTCTCCATGCCAAATCATATATTCATTTCAAGATTTCAGGCGATTCGTGTGTGCATAACCGCCGTTTCTTGAACACTGCATCACACGAAAGTTGACTATGATTTTAGCCTCAAAGCATAAACTTGGGATACAACTCTGGTGGCAAACCAGATTCCTCGCAGTTGAAATTGAACAAACAATTTTTGAATAACATAGTATATGTTACTTACATTCACACGACTAAAATATACCCTTGCACTCTATGAGTACCGGGTATAAATTCACATTACGTTGCAAATTATGAAAATTATGACTTGTATGGTACCGACAATTGGGTTTTCAAAGTAGCACATTCAATCGCAGAAATCATGTTATTGATGGGTTTGCAATAATGTATTGCAGACCAAAATAAAATAGTACATTTTTAATTTAAGCCGTTTACCTCAACTTATATCTTCTTAAATGAAGAATTATTAGACACAAAAAAAGTTTAATACGTAATATTTAAATGAGTAATACAAATATGTAGTTATATAGCTACAAAACATATACATAAGTAAAGGATAAAATGACTTTAGTAAGCGTGACCTAAAAATATGGGTTTATTACGCATCGGTTAGAAAAAAAATCGGGGATTACTTAAAATAAAAATCCATTAAACAAGGTTAACCTAAATAAAACTTTTTGCATTGTCTATAGGTGAATGTCTAAGTCTAAATCTTAATTCTCATCGAATCCCTGAAACGTCACCCTCATCCAATTCCTTTTGTAATTTATAAATTCTAATATTTCATTGGGTCAACCCGCTCGTTATTCGCTGCGCAGAATCAAAAAAAAAACCCCTTCACAAATCAATAATTCACATTACGTTACAAATTATGAAAAATTAAATTTTTTTGTATTATTTCTTATGGAACTCGTCAATGCATAGTTTGCAGCTCCACGAACCTTCAGGTGGTGTAATAAGTGGCGGCGAAAGGCAATACATATGATAACCCCTGTCGCAATCATCGCAGAAAAGTAACTGGTCATCATTGTCTGAGGTTCCACAAATAGAACAGTATTTGCATTCAATACATTGCCATCTATAGCGTTTTACTGATATTATCATGTTTTCTGTAAACTGAAGGCATGATGGATGACCAGAACGACCACAGTCTGAGCATGAAACTAGCTCTTCCGGCATACTAGTTTTTTTGTTTTCACGCTGATCACCAAGACAGAAATCGCAGTAAGGAGATGGTTGAGCCACTTCGCGCTCTGTTCGTGTTTTGACCTTTTTTGGGCTAGCACCTGTGGCTGCAGCGTTATTATTTGTTGAATATATAGGAGGGGTGCAAACAACATTGGTCGTTCCTGCTAAGTTTAGGCCAATTCCTGTTATTCCAGCCATCGTTGCTAACGGAATAGAGTCATTGGAAGCCCCAGCATCGCTCGACGCCTTTTCATAAGATGACGCTGGAATGACTAGTGCTGATTGTGAAGTGTCATCGTTTGGAGGAACAGGTGACGCTGAATTGGAATGCGTTGCATAAAGACCTGTGGCAGCTGCTGCGGCTGCGGCAGTGCTTGCAGCATGAGCTACGGCTGCAGCTGCCGCTGCAGCAGCTGCAGATGTATTCGCACCGTTTCCACATCCACGACGTCTGCGATCCGATTCTCCCTCGATGCCATTTCTACGTCGATTTCCTAAATATAATATAAAACAATATATTGAAAACAGTAAAAAATATTTTAATTTATCATCACCTTTGCGGCCACGTTTTGGTGTACTTTCTGCGTGTGAATTGGACCGACGCGGTCGAGTCCCTCTCTTGCGTTTCCCCCTGCTTGTGTATGACTCGTCAAAATCATTATCTGAATCGAAATCATCATCATAATCATCACCATGATGATAATGTGATACATCCATTTCTTCATGAAACCATTCTTTTTCCGCATTTACATGGGAATCCTTACTATCATTGTCTCCGGACGCTCCCAAAGAGTTTCCATCAGCAGCCACGATTACTAAAAATTATTATTTACGAAACTACTAAATTAACATACATATATAATATTTAATTCAAATTAATGTTTACCGCAATAAATATTATTATTTTTATTTTTTAATGAGTTATTAGGAAGTAAATGAGATCGTCGAGAAACAATTTACATATTTACATTTATTAAACATGAAAAAATTCTTAAATAACCATAAGTTTAATAAAAAAAAGATTGATGCACTTTAACAGTCAATACGTAAATGCGTAGTATATTTTTGTTAATTTTAATTATATGTCGATTTAGGGGTGAAAAAGCCGTGAAGGTGAAAAGCCGTGTCGATTTAGGTGAAAAAAAACACGGGAGCAAGTAACTTTTACTTTTTTCGGAAACAAGTAATTCACTTCAAAAAGCAAACACCGGGGCCTGCTTGATGGTATTTAAATATTTTGTAATATGTAAATAATGACAAATTGATAGAAATATTACAAGCACCTTAGATGTAAAGAAATTATTTTACCTGCGCTCTCCATTTGATGAAGATCTCGAGTCCCCACAGCGACAGGTGCTGCTGGATGGTGGTGGTGATGCTGGTGTTGATGATGAATGTGCTGATGGGGCTCCCGATATTGATAAGCTCGATAGCTCTGATTTGAGTTAAGCAAATATTGGCGTTTGGGCTTTCGCCATCGTGATGATGGGTACGTGTATATCTGCCCATGGCGAAATCCTGGCATACGCTGTTTTTTTTTCATAAAAAGGGCACAGTGTGTTTGCGCTACTCCAGTTTGGGGGTCCAAAAAAGGCATGCGAAGTCGTCGTTCAATGCATAACCGGGTATTAAAGTTTTCGCTGTTTTCTAAAATTTCCTTGTATTTTTCCTTATCATTTAGAAAGCTTTGAATCTTTTCAAAATTTCCAATATTTACTACCATCGTTTTCTCAAATTCAGACGAAGAAGCCATATTGTTGCAGACAGTATACATATGTAAATATGTATGTATGAAAGAATCGACTAATAACAATTCAGCAACAATTATTTTCAAAGTTTGCAGTTTGCAAAGTTTTTTTTAAAACGATTAAAAAGTTTTGTTATTTTTATTAAACAAATCATGACTGTTTAATTAGAAACGAACCTGAAATTAAAATCCTAGTCTGTATGTTGATGAAAAAAAGTATCGTTTTAATTGGTTTGCCTGTATTCTACATTTTCCACCCTTAGATTGGTAAGTCAAGTTACCGTCATTTGTTGATCCGTCGTATAGGAATTAAGAATTGTTTGCGGTATAGCGTAGTACTCATCGAAAAACATGATTGACGAATATTTTCAAGTTACGCACTACAGTCATACCGAATTTGAATGTTAATTTGAACATTGACAATGTTGGAAACAGCTGATTTAAATAGATCTTTTATTATCAGAGAAGTCCTTTATTGTTTTTGTATCTATTTGTATCTAAATCCAATAGATGTCATTAATAATGATTTTTAATCACTTTTTTATGGAAACAAAATTTGGTTTGTCCCACAAATATAAAATGACGAGAAGAAATTCTACTTATTCGACTATATGTATCTATAATTTTTAAGTCATCGAATTCATTAACTTGACCTTCGAAAACATTAGAATTTATTTTCTACATTATTAATACAACAAAAAAACACAAAATTGTTTTGCAATCTTATTACTGACCCTGTCAAACGGGATTAAAATTAAAATAAACGAAAAGATTAAAATTTTTAATCTTTTACTAAGGCCCTGTATACGTTCGTTGGTACTGGTTGACATGCCCATATAAATTTCCGGAATTTTTTTCGTTCTGAGTACGGGGTGACGATAAGCCCCTCGAAAATGTTTTTCACCTATTTGCATCTCGCTCAATCCCATAGCTGAAAAAAAGTAATTGAAGATCTGAGTCAGTGGTGGGAAAACTCTTGTTTTCCAAAACTCTTGCAAAGGCTCGAAAATTCGGCCGCAGCTCTGCCGGCACATTGAGAGCTCTGCCGGAACTCTAATTTCTTAAATTCTCAGCCCAAAACTTAAGCAAAATATACTTTCACTGAAATGTTCTCAAAGTATTAAGAGGAAAAAGTTTTCTCTATAGTAAATATAGAAAAGGAAGCGTCTACTTTCATTTATTGAAGAAATAATGGTAAAAAAAAACTTTCTTTACAAAAATACAAAAATACAAATAGACACTACTTAAGTGCGCATTAAAACTTTTAAATTTGCAAAAAACGAAATAAAGAAACTTTGTTTTTACTCAGTGAATTACCTGCTCTCTTTTTTTTTGCTGCCTACGCACTCACTCAAATTTTAAGAATGTTTGCGTTTCGCACACCACTGATCTAAGTTAAAATTTTTATTAAAAAAAAAAAATTCAAGGTGCGAAAAAGTAAATTTTGATTAAATATTAGCTGTTAAAATCGCCAAAATTAACGCTTTTCAAACTTAATGTGTTCACATATTCTATTTCAAGAGTTTTAGACCTAAAGCATAGTACTGAGTTGACGAAAATCCGCTGTTGAAATTCTGATAGCGATTTTGCACTTTATTCAACTACCGAGCTAGTGTGACCAAAAAAATGAAGAAATAAGGTAATACTGAACAGCTGTTGTTTGTAAACAAAAAACAATTAAGCAAAAATGAATTCAAAACGATTGGATGTTGGTGTTTTGTTTATGTATTTCGCCGCTAAGGAGCTGATTAAGAAATAGAAAACTGGGTCTAAATCAAAATCCAAATCAATTGCCCCTTGTGGGTCAAGTCCCATATTATGGGCTTCGTCTTGACCACAGAAATTAATTTTAATTTGTCCTGGCGCGTCGAAAATTTTTCGGGCCGACTATTTTTTTGTTTGGTCAATTGACCCTCCATGTCACACCTATAGAAATAAATTGAAATATTTCTTTTAACTCCCCGAGAGCAGCTGTTTATTGTTTTTGATCCGGCAACACGATTAAAATCGATAACAAAAATTTTCGTCAACTCAGTACCCGCAAAATCTAGAAGGCAAAAATGTCTTCTTCTTTCCTTTTTTACACCGTTTTTTTTTTTATATGGAGTTTGACAGCTGTCACTCGTTGTACAGCGGATTTTCGTCAACTCAGTACTATGCTTAATGTGGTACTCAGATTATATTGTTTGAAAAAATATTATTGAAAATACATGACGAGCCAAACGGTGTATTCTCTGTTGTGTGAATTTTTTTGAATTTAATCCGAGTTACGTCTCTTAAATTACTTTAAACGTTAAGCACCATTTAAATTAAAAAATAGGCAAAATAGGAATATTTATTTTCTGTAAAACGCACCTTATAGTAACAGAAAGCACAATAAATTGAGCGTAAACAACGCATAATATCTTCGCATGAAATAGCCAATGAGGTGGGCTGGACACCATCACCAACAGCCTAAACATTTAACGATCATAGAACCAGGTCTTCTATGAGAGCTAGACAGAACTATCTCTACAGAGCTTGAGTGATAGGCATATATAAAAGCTCGCACAAAGCGAACAATATAATTTTAAACAGAACCGAGAATAGCGCATCTCCGAATTAAAAAAAAAAACAGACAATAAAAAACACAGTTTACAGTATTTTCCAAAAAATAACCTTAAAGAGTACTGCTAGGCGAGCCAAACTTAAATAAGTTTGTAGTGTAGTTATTAAATCAGTTGGTGTAATAAGACTTTTGGAGTAGTTGGTGTAGTACGAAGGCTACTTTTAATGCAGACCTCCGCCATCCTTTGAGTTTTCTGAAGCCTTTCCCTACACAAAGAGTCCCCGCAGAACAAGGTAGGTCCAATGACCGTCGTGTAAAGCCATCTTACAATTTTCGGAGACTCATCCCATTGCTCCCCATGACCTTACGACAGGTGTACAGCGCGATAGCTGCTGCTCTATCCATGGTGTTGTGCTTCTAGTCCAGTTTCCTGTCTAGCGTAATTCCGAGGTACTTGGAATTACCACTAAGTGTAACAGTTGCCCCTGATAGCTTTGGAAGTATTATAGCTTTGGTAGTTTGTACTTTGTAGTGATTAGGACAATTCCTATCTGAAATTTCCTCTCCTTTTACCCCTCCCCTCCTTTTGGAGTGCCTCCCCTAAAAAATATTTGAATAGACTCTACTCCTAGTGTCGCCTCGACGGGCGTGTCTTGGGTCTCTCCAAACTTGTTTTACGTGGCGTGTTCGACACTGAAGGGGTTACAACCACGGCACTCGAATATACCTACAAGAGGCATATGGGCACGAATGGTACGCCTGCCAGCGCCCCAGAATATAAGCCATAGCTGTGTACATAGCGACCAGCCTGGTACCTTTAAAGTATGTGCTTGTCGGGCAGCATACTCTGGATAAGAGGCGACGTGTATATATCACCTGTACTGATTTATGGGACACAGCACCCGAGTTGTACAACGCAACTCCACGTCGGTTTCGAAGACTCTTCCCGCGATATGGCGGCCTACCTCAATGGTAATGCTAGGACACTATCCAACCCGTGGCACCGAAGTTTGTAGGCTCGGTGACCCATTCCTTTAGTTCTGACAAGCTCGGATGGGGCGCCCTGCCATCTTAGTCGCCTTCTACGACAAGCCATGGCGAACTGTGGCAAAGTTCTTCGCCGCTAGTCACACGGCACGAAAAGACCTGCTCTGCCAGTCCGAGGGCGGAAACCCCAGTCATCGCACGGAATCATCTGATCATTTGATCATAAAAAAGTTCATGCGTTCGCTGACCGTGATGCCAAGGTATCAGCAGCTGCGTACGTATGGGAGACTTGCTCCTGAAGATCTCACACACGGGGTGCGTGCGAAAGACCTTTTCAGCAGCACTATTACCGTCTTGCCGTCTATTAACGTCATTATGGAAATGATGACACCTATTTCCGTACCCCTTTTCCGTACCCCTTTCTGGGGACATGTGTTTTTTTTTATACTTTGTTTTATTAATCTCAACAACAATTAACATACTTAACATAAATATTACCATAGTAATAAGGGGGGGGGAGGTGTTTGTTCATGGATGATGGATAGTGGGGGCTTGAGAGCGGGTGTGTGTGTGGGGAAACCTACAGGTTAGCTGGGAAAATATCAAAACGCTAGGTGAGTAACAAAAGTTTTTTAAGCAGAATTCTGAAGGAAAGGGCCAGGAAAAGACACCGGCGAGCGAAAAGTACCCTTGGCGACCCAGAAGTATCAAGTGAAGCACAATCACGCGTTAACAATCCTTGATCAGCAACACACCTCGATCAGTCCCTAAACCTGCACGGAACCGGAGCAGGCTCAAGCCGCAGCATCAGATACGTGTGCGTGATTTGGGCCTCGTGTCTACCTATCCTCACATTGGCCATTGGGGAAGCTAAATTCTTATGTTCGTCCATAGTGACGATACTTAATAACAACATCAACCACCACAACAAGAAAGAGCGTACCGAAGCGGAAGAAGAACTAAGTATAACTTAAATAAGAACTTAAGAAAATAAGTAGAACTGAATACTTAATTTTTTTTTTTGGCTTAGTTTAAAGGCTTTGTTGTATTAAACCAGTACCAACCGCCTCAAGATTTGCACCAGGTTACACCGTTCCTTGACGCTACCCTGATACCAGTCTGGTATCTCCATGAAGCTCCATGCAGCTGACCTTACGCTATAGGTTTTTGGGGATAAGCCCATATTTGGATCTCCTATCAATGACTCCAATGAGTGTTCGGCCCTTTGTGACCTCGGCGAAAGATCTGTTAGCCGGCTGTGGGTCGGCCATGTATAAGTCGGATTTTTCTTTGCCTGGTGCGCTCCACCTTTTCCCAACCTCTGCCTATTCGCACTCTGCGCGATCTCTTTTCTAGAATTGCTAACTCCTGCCGGCTTTATCGGCTCTAGCCACACTCTAGCCTTTGTCGGTTAAAAATGGGTCCAAATTTCCTTTGCCCATCTTATAATCTCGGCTTGGTCCGGGATGAATTCCGCCGATGGTTTCACCCTCTTTAAAATTAAGGCTTCTCTCCTTCTATCCTTATGGGAGCATTTGCCTTGCGTCTAGGAAGACATTGCCGGAGGTTTTTCTTTAGAGGCCCCCCTCTTGGTAGAGAGGTTGACTTTCAAGTCTTCTGTGAAACGCCGTTCGGTGTTCCCATCGCTAGCCCCGCTTTGGAGGAAGATGCCCAGCGTGTACTGCCTCTTGATGTTGTCCCTTTGTGGGGAGCTTCGACATCCCAGCGACTTCTTGGCCTTTGACA